TTTCCCTCTGGGATTATTAAAGTATTTGTGATTCTGATTCTGATTCTTTAAGTTCCCTAAGTGCTAAATGAAACAGAGAATGGGACAAAAGCAGAAGTTTGAGGGTGTTTGGGCGGCTGAAGGAAGAATAATCTGCTTATTTTCTGAGGGTTTCTGTGTTTTCTCCGGTGTTTCCTCCTGAGCTGAGGAGGATCTGAGGGTTTTCCAGCTCAACCTGTCCAGCAGCCTGAGTTTCTCACAGTTTTCCTCCCGGTTTATTTGGGAGGAAAACTCATCTTTGCCTCAGAGGCAGATCAGGGTTTCTGTAAAACGAGAATCTGGTTCTGCCCCTCACTCCCCCGGAGAAAAACTCCCACATAAGTCACCGCATACTTCTCCAGCTATATCAGACTTATCTCCCGTCAGGAAAACACACTTCCATTTACCTCCTGCTCGAAATAATACAGAGGGGGAAATAAGTATTTGAGCCCTTGCTGATTTTGCAGGTTTGCCCACTTACAAAGAATGCTTATTTTTCCTCATCAGATGGTTATCAATTTGTATAAATTCATATGATGTGATTTTCTGGAATTTTCTTTGGGATTCTGTCTTTCACTGTTAGAATGTACATATGATTAAAGTTATAGATCGCTGCATTCTTTGTAAGTGGGCAAACCTGCAAAATCAGCAAGGGCTCAAATACTTATTTCCCCCACTGTAAATTAGCAACTATGCTAGAATCTGGCTCATTTACAATCTGAACAGAAGTATAAGATTGTCCATTTAGCTACTACTCTAAATAATACATGGATAAAAGCGGATGGAAGCAGGTTTGCATTATTTATTAGTGACTGAGCTCCTGGTGGCTGCTGCTTTATTTGTTTTAGACTCTACTTTTATTATTTCCCATATTTTTTTTTATTATTTTTTTTTTTTAATATGTTCTTTTAACATTGTAATCTTGGTTTTTGCAAGTACTGGAGCTGTAACAAACATATTGCTTTCTCCTTTGTTCCTGCTTTTAACTGTGTTTTAACCTTTTTTAAAAAAATGTTTTGTTTGTTTTTTTAATTTCTTTTTTGTGCTGTTTTATGCTGTTCTTTTTTATTTAAAATGTCTTGTCTTAATGTAAAGCACATTGAGTTGCTGCTTGGTATGAATTGCGCTATATAAATAAAAATGCCTTGCCTTTATTGTCTTTGTTCCTGCTTTTAACTGTGTTTTAACCTTTTTTTTTTATTGTTTGTTTGTTTTTTATGCTGTTTTATGCTGTTCTTTTTTATTTAAAATGTCTTGTCTTAATGTAAAGCACATTGAGTTGCCGCTTGGTATGAATTGCGCTATATAAATAAAAATGCCTTGCCTTACTTTTAGAGCTTTAAACGCGTTTCCATAAGTGCTCTGGTCTGGTTTAGTCCTGGTTTGTGCTCCTCAGTGAGGTCAGATTTATAGTCTGAGGTTTATGATGCGTGTCGCTGACACATGTTTGGTTTGGTCCTGAAACCTGACCTAAAGCTCCCAGAGAGTAACTCCTGTGTGTTAGTTCGGTTCTTTAGCTGGAACCTGAGAATAAACATAAATAATCATTTTGTTCAAATGAAAGTTTTGAATGAGTGGAAAAGTCCAAATGTGTGTAGATAGATAGATAGATAGATAGATAGATAGATAGATAGATAGATAGATACTGTAACAGAGAGAGGAGGAGGAGGCACAGCCAGAGAGTTTAACCCAAAAGTAGAATTATAAAGGGAATAATATACATCTAAACAGGAATAAGACAATCAGTCGTTTACATGGATTAAGCTATAGCATGCTATGCTAAAGTGAGTAATTATAGCCCAGTTCTAACATGTGTCAGAAGGGGAACTCAAACCTGCTGGAGCTCCAACTTTGAATGTAAAGTCCAGAAAAACGCAGCCAAAGTCCCACGAAACTAGCTTTAATTTGCATGTTTTTAGCTTTAGTTCTCCACACGTCTGAACAGGAGAGTCGGTCTTATTACTACTGCAGACTTTCTCCTCTATTTCCATAATTTTTGTTCACAGCTTCGTCCCACAGAGCTGCCATTCAAATGAGTAAACGGCAGAATCAGTTCAGGGAATTCAGACACACCCTGAAACGCTCTGTGTCTCTATAAACACGTTTGGGTTTAAACTGGGAGGGACTCTGTCCTTATATTCCTCACACAGTCGGAAACCTTAAACACAGTTCCAGCTATTATCATCTCTAATAATCCATAATAATCCATTCTCACTAAAACAATCCACCCTGAGTCCTTCCGTCTTTCTTGGTTGGTTCATTTTTATGTTTTTCTGAACCAGATAAAAGAGAAGGGGAGAAAACGGAGTCGACTAAAAGTCTGGAGTTGTTTTATTTAGTTTTTATGTCCCACAAAAAGGCTTTAACCCTTTAAAGGCTGATCCAAGAAAAATAGGAAGAATATTGGAGTTTTTTAGTCTGAAGTCTTTCTTTGTCAGTTTTTTTGGTCATTTTTTTTATTTAAAAACGTGTTTTAATCTTATTATTATATATTATTATAGTATTATATATCCACAGGACTCAGTGGACTCCAATCGATTTCTACTTTACAAAGTTTTATATTATATTTGCTCAATATTTGCCAATTTCTTCAAGAGGTCCATGTCTTACTACGACCTAATTTGTTGTTGGGAAACTTTTGTTAGTCGGGACACAAGTTTTGCTGAATAAGGATGATGGAAAAGGCTCAAAGATGCTTTAGTTTTTAAAGCCTGATCCAAGAAAAATAGGAAGAATATTGGATTTTTTTAGTCTGAAGTCTTTCTTTGGCCCCTCAACAACATATGAAGAAAAAAAACTGAAATTATTTTGATCAAATTAGCGTGCAATAAGTCAGAAATCTATGTTGGTGTAGTCTTCTACTGGCTGTTATCAGGTATATCTGAATGTGTACAACAGGGGTTTGAACAAAGCTTTTACCACTGAATGATGCAGAAAGTTTCACATCCAAAAGAAACCCGATCAGATATGACACATTTGGCTTTATAGGGTTAAGACCCCTAAAACAGCTTTAAAAGCCCCCCAAAAAACAGTTTTAAAAGCACACAAAAAACGCTTTAAAAGCCCCAAAAACAGCTTTAAAACCCCATAAAACTTCATTAACCCTTTAAAGCCTGATCCAAGAAAAATAGGAAGAATATTGGATTTTTTTAGTCTGAAGTCTTTCTTTGGCCCCTCAACAACATATGAAGAAAAAAACAGAAATTATTTTGATCAAATTAGCGTGCAATAAGTCAAAAATAAAAATAAGGATCAGATCCAAAAGACTTCAGAAACCGGATCAGATATGACACATTTGGCTTTATAGGATTAATTACTAGCAAAAGGCGCATAAGAAAGGAGGATTTGGCCCTTTTTTCGGGGGTGGACACCCTGAATGTTCTGGTTTTAATACAGAAAAGCAGAATACTGTCAGAGTGTTTGACCTGTGAGGGGAACGCTCCGGTTTGGTGGTGAGATCAGGTCTTTTTTACAGAATCAGCCATAAGGGACAAAGAATGACATCAGACTGGAGTGGGTCTAACTCATGTTATGGAAAAAGTTCTTTAACCTCCTGAGACCCTGTGTCCTCATAAGTGGACGTTGCATTTTTGTCTCTCTTTACCATGATGCTTCTTTTTTTCTTTCAGCTTTGACCTCTTGACCTCATAGCAGATGCTATCAGACACTGTTTGAAATCTAAAGTAAAATGGTTTTATACATTTCCATCCAATCATGTTCTTATTGTGTAATAGAAAAAATGTAAATTAGTCAATGGGACTGTCAGAACAAAATTGTAAAAACATTTAATTAAATATGTATCTCATATATCTTTAAAAAAAAAGCTAAAATGCATGCCAAATAAAAGCTCGGGCCTCAGGAGGTTAAAAGAGTGAGGCAAAGTTTCCTAATAATTAGAGAAGATCGATCTTGTCCAATAAAGAGATTTATTGGAAGGCAACAGCGTTAGAAAACGCAGGTCACAGAGTAAAACCCAAGTGAAAAGACACGTCCCCTTTTATAACATAGTATGGATAAAAGAATGGAAAAAGGCCTCTGTGTTTCTTATCAGCAACAAACAAAGAGATTCTGATTTACTCCTCAGTCATAAAGGAAGTCCCGTGGAGAATCTCCAAAAGGAAAAAAAGCTATGCTTATTCTCAAGTGGATTAGTCAAAAAGAGAACCTTCTGAGGTGTGAGGATTTCACAAAGGACGAGTCAAAAGGTTTAAATGATAAACAGGAATGGGAGATTCATCCTTGATGGGATTAAGGAAATTGTTGCATTTCCTACTGGTGCTAAAACCACAGTCTCCATTTATGAGAGACGACTCTCCCTAAAGGAATCAAAAACAGGAGCTTTAACAAAGAAACAAAATAAAATCCTCACAATAACAACATCAGTTTATTCCTGTAAACAACACAACCCTTCACATTAAACACACATTACACACACA